CGGCCCTCATCATTGAGCAGCGGGAGCTGGAAGACAAAATACACCTCGGGGAAGAGCAGCTAAAGTGCCTGTTTGACAGCCTGCAGCCCGAAAGAGGCAAATAAGAGACCTGTCCCCAGCAGAGGTCAGACACAAATCCTTCAAGCTCCATTCCCAAGGATGCAAGTGGAAACCCCAGCCTGTATTTATGTCCTGGAACGAGATTCCTCCATATAGCACAGTGGCTAGTAGAAAAGCAATAATGTCCGTGTTTGTGTAGGATGTTTATTTAATTTTTTGATTTTGCTTTGGAATGCTGAGCAGAGTTTGTGTCATGCATGACTCCACATGAAGCTGGACTCTGCTGGCTGGCGAGGCCCCATGGAGGACGAGGGCTGGGCCTGCGGTACATGCATGTGGTCATTTTCAGCAGTGGGCCTGCCGTTCCTCCTGTCCTCGGATGCCAAACCAGCTCCGGGAAGTCACCAAGCATGTCCTGGGGGTGCTTGAGAGGGGAGATCCTGGCGCACTTCTCTTGTGGCTCACCCGGACATGGGCTGCTGTGTTTTGTCCTTGCTCATCCAACAGTGTGGTCATTTGTTGTCTCTATCATCTGATGATGTTACCTGACCCAGCAAAACTCATGATGATGATGCTGATAATTTATTAATGTGTGGGAAAGGTGAAAGGTTTCCTAATAGTTAAAAACCAGCTGTGAAATGAACAACCTACATGTTGGGTGCATTCATTCGAAGATTAAAATTGCCACTTAAATCGTATGCATGCTTTAAAACACACCCACACACAGAACAAATACCTGTAGTTCTCACTGACATCAGTATAATCTTTCCCAGCCAAGTAAAATTACGTGGTTAAAAGTATGTCCAGTAATAATGTTCTTGTTAGTTTCCCAAAACCTATGGAATATTTTTAGATGACTTTTCCACCCAGAACATTAACTTTGTGTGCATATGATAATTGATAATGATAATTGGCTTGTTTTTTCTCTTGTCCTCCAAGTCTGTTGTTGCCTGAGGGCTGCATTCCTTGTACTGGAAGACTTCTTCCTCTGGTTTTTCAGAGGTTCTGTGGACTGTCTATTCCCACACTTTATCTTTTTCTGCCACAGTGTTTAAAGATTCTGTGCCCTATGTCTTGGTTGTAAAGAGAGTCTTACTCATTAAAACGATACTCATGCCTCGATTCCCAATTGACAAGTCATAGACTGGGAGAAAACACTTGCAAACCATGTCTCTGACAAAGGATTTGTATCCAGAATGTACAAAGAACTCCCCAAACCCAATGGTAGGGGGGGAAAAAAACGGCCCAGTTTAAAAAGTGGGCAAAAGACTTGGGCAGACACTTCACCAAAGAGGATATATGCATGGCAAATAAGCACATTGAAAAGATTCTCAATCGCTGGTGGTTTGGTTATGACTTACTTATTTTATGTAGTAATTGTAGATCTGGTGTGTTTCCTCAGAACATCTTCACTGGACTAGATGCATGGTTAATGGTAAGCAAGTCCCTCGGATGACTTGATGTTTAGGGATTATTAGAGCATTTATTTTATCAAAGGATCCTTTGAATCTTAATTTCCCCTTAATCCCTTAAAAGAAATTTCTAGCAGGTGCGGGAGTTCCTCTGTTATCAGTGACCATAGCCTTCCCAAAACACATATTCACACACCCACACATATGTGCTCATGCACATACGTGCGTGCACACACGCGCGTGCGCATGTCTGAAAGAACCTGAATCCACACTTCCTGAGCCAGAATTGCTGAGCTGGGCTCCAGAGGCACTGTGTTGATGCCATAATGCATTCTGCACAGCAGAGTCCAAACTGGCAAGCTTCCTCGATGCAGGCAATAAACCTTGCCTTTGCGGCATCCTACACATGCCAAAAGGCTGAAGGCCTCTTCAGAAGTGTTTGTTCCTGTTGAATTCAGCTACTTCTAACTTGAAACGTCCCTGCCCTGCCATTGTTCTGTGGCATCTTGCCCCTTCCCACCTGGTGGCCCCTTGCTGTGGATGTCAGTCACGGCAGACAAGCCAAAGCTGACTGTCCATAGACCCCCTCAAGTAATTTTAGAATGTTGTATTTTTAATTTAGACAAAGCTTTTTACCTGTGATCCTTTCCCCTCACATACAGTATTGTGATCATTTTAATGATACATGTGTAAAATGTGAAGAATCAAATGTGTGTGTCTGCACTCCGCCCTTTTGTGTCTTTTTTATGACTTTCTTCTACATAGCAATACATAGTGCTCTAGTATCCTTTTAGTAAAGCACACATAATCACAACCTTCTCATCTGTAACCCTGTTTGCCTCTTAAATGTCTGGTTAGCGGGGACCCAAAGATTCCAGTGAGGGGTGTACATATCTTGTATATAGTGATGTTCTTACATATAAAAACAATCTGGTGCTATTGATTGGCCCTGGGCATTCGTAGGTGGTGGCTGATCCTCACCCTCTGTCATAGCACAGCTGTGGGAAGCTCTGTGTAGCAAGCTTTCTTTTGGTCAGGGGTGTTGTCTGTGGCTTGTGTCCAGCAGTCCACAGTGGCAAATGTGTGCAGATTTCATGCTTGACACTTTCTATCAACAGATCATCTTGCTTGATTTTAACTAAATAAATAATGTCTCTTTGAGTGAATGGAGCATGTCTTTGATTTACCTATGTTGCAGATTTTTAAAAAAATATTGGGGTGTAGCTCATTTGTAGAGCACATGGGAGTCAGGTCAAGATCAATCCCCACCATCAAAAGAAAAAAACACACTCTTAAATCTTCACCATGTATTAGATTCTTAAGCCATTTGAGTAACCTTTAGTATTGACTGTATGCTTGTATCTTGCCTATGTGGTTAAGGCTAATCAATTATAATCAGAAAAAGTCTGAAACACAGGTTGTATCAATTAGCTCTTGCATCAGTACTGGTGTGTAACAAGTAACTATGAAATCTCAACGGTGTAGAGTGCACAGTATTGACTTAGCTCACATGTTTGTAGATCAGTGACTGATCCAAGGTGGGCTCTACACCACGGACCTCTCCTCTTCCTCCTGGTACCAGCAATCAGGCCTGGGCATGGCCTTGGCAGGTACGTAACAGAACAAGTCCAGTCATGAAGGTGCTTGTTATGGCTTTGGTCATGTCACACCTGCTGACTTTCCAGTAACCAAAGCACATCCTATGGAGTGGCACCAAAGCATCCAAAGCTGCAAAGACAGTTTCTCTGGAGCAAAGCTGTCACTACTTAGTTGCATCGACATGAGCAGGTGACTTAGCATCTTTGAGCCCCTGTTTCCCCTCTGATTGGACATGTCCTGCTTTGACATTAGTGTGTTGATGTGCTTGGAACCAGTTAGAGAAGTGCTGTCCAAGCTGTGATTTGAGTAGTACCCCATTTTCTATAGGGGATACTTTCCAAATCATCACCCCCCAGCCCATTAGTGGCTTCCTGAAACCACAGATAGTGGTTTAGACCCTGGAGGTGAATTCATGAGTCTTGAGTTGTTTCTCAATAGTTGTTACAGAAAAATAAACATTGCAGGACAACAAAGAGCAGGTAGAGTTGCTTACCACCTCAGCCAGAAACCAGCACTGAATTAGTTTCCTGTGACTGCTATAACAAATTGCTATAAACTTAGTGTTTTAAAACATTAATTTATTACCATTCTCAAGATCAGAAGTCTGTCAAGTCTGACGTCAGCCTTACTGAGCTAAAGTCAAGGTGTTGGCAGGGCTGTCCTTTGAAACAATTTGTTTCCAGCTTCCAGAGACTACCCCATTCCTTTCTCATGGCTTCTTCCTACACTTACCAAGTTTGCTGCTTAGCATCTTAATTCTCTTCAACTCTGTTTCCATTATCTCATCTCTTCTACCAGGAGACCCTCCTACTTCCCTCTTACAACAATGCTTATGGTGTCAGGGAGCCCACTCAGAAAATCCAAGATAACCTCCCATCTCAGCATCCTTAATTTAACCATCCTGCTGCGAGAGGTAACATATCCACACAATCTTCCCTTCTTTTCATGCTTCCCCCCACATTTCTCCCTTTTGCTTTTTACTTTTTAACAAATCAGACACAGGCTGGCCACATGTTTTTGCAATCTGCTTTTTTATATAGCAACATTTGGAGTGATTTTCTTGATAGTTCAGTATAGTGACTGTGTACTTGCCTATTTTAAGGGCATGATATAGCTTATTGGACTTATATTCTAAGTGTATCTAAAAGGATTTTTCCCCTTTTTGTCCTAGTTATAATTTGTCTCATGTCTTCATACATAGTTCTGATCATTTGCTTGGGATAAATTCCTTATCGTAGAAATACTGTGAACAAAGCATTCTCATGGAATTTTGACTTCTGTTTAACATTCAGTCCCGAGTCCTGCCTTGCTGATGTACTTTGCCTACTTCGCACCTGTGTTTCCTACAGAAACTTCACTTGAAGCCATCTCCAATCTTAGAAGTCTGTTTCTCACCAATTAGGGCTCTCCTTCTGTGTATTCATGTCTTACCCAGGTGGACATGTTTCAAACAGGCCTATGATTCAAGACCCAAACCAGAAGGAGATTGTTTCCCATGAGTTGAACAGTATGTTTCCTGATGTGGTGCTGGTGGGCTTTGACATATAGATGCCACTCATCATTGCCTTTTCATATTACTTATTGTGATACAGGGGATTATACCCAGGGGCACTCTACCACTGAACTTTGCCCCCAGCCCCTTTTGATTTTTTGAGATGGGGAGTCTCATTAATTGCCAGGGCTGGCCTTGACCTTGCAGTCCTCCACCTCAGTCCCCAAGATGTTGGGATTATAGGCATGTGTCACTTCACTCTCTCTGCCATTGCCTTTCAAATAGATGGCCTTACTGTTGAGTACTGTGGGCATGCCTGTAATCTCAGTGACTCAGGAGGCTGAGGTGAAGGATCTCAAGTTCCAGGCCGGCCTTGGCAGCCATCGACATCCTTCTTAAAAGTTTTTCAAAGGGCGGGAGTGGGTGGGAACTGGGGATGTAGCTTAATGGTAGAGAGTCTTTGGGTTCAATCCCAATACCACAAAATAATTTTTTTAAAAAATGACATTACCTTCAAGCCTGTTAGAAACAATTTTGGGCGAGAGGCACAAGAAAGTGATGGGAGACATTTCAGACAGATCATCTTGGGAGTAGACTCCTGTGATCCATTAATACACATACCCACCCCCATGAAGGCTAACCGATCACAAGGACCCATGATGAAGACAAAAAAACCAAAGACAGCACTGGAATCCACAGAGTGATGGTGGCTACCCTGCCATTCGTGAACTAGCAAGGGAGAACTTGGAAGGTGAGACAATAGGTGGTAGAATGTGACAACAGAAGGTGGAACAGAAGGTCTTGGACCTCCTTATCCATGGTGTGGATGGGACCTCATTGCTGCCTGGACCAACAAGCCAGCAACGAATAGCCAGGAGGGACCTAAGAGGAGCCTCATCCTTGTCCTGCTGGCCCGAGACACTGGTCATCATCCTGAGCTTCCAGTTGAAGAGTATGCTGCTGGTTAGTACAGATTTGTCCTTTATTGTATATTCTTTGTGTGTGTGTGTGTGTGAGAGAGAGAGAGAGAAATATACACAACATAACATTCACCACTTGGACCATTTTTAAGGGTATGGTTCAGTGTCATGAAGTATATTTACATTGTTGTGCAACTATTACCACCATTCATCTCTAGAACTTTCTGTCCTTCCCCAAACGAAACGGTATTCCCATTAAATGCCATCTCCCCATTCCTTCCTGCCCTGACCCAGGGTAACCACATCCTACTTCCGGTCTCTATAGCTGTGAGTCCTTCAGGCGCCTCATTTAGGTGGAATCATTGGATGATCTTCTGTGACTACTGTTTCACTTAGTACAATGTCCTGCCGGTTCGTCCGTGTGTCAGAATATTCTTCCTTTCTTAGGCTGAAAGTATTATCTGTACACATGATCTCTGAGTTAGGATTTTGATTTATGATGGTTCAGCTTGTGGTTTGACAACTTTATTAGGATGTGAAAGAGATGTGTTCAGTAGAAACTAGACTTTGCATTTTGAACTTGGATCTCTCTCCTAGGCTAGCGGGACATGGTAGGATGTATACAGTCCTCCCTGTCCTGCTCCACCTGCATGCAGGGCTTGTTGCTTTCATCACTGCCTTGAGAAACACCTTAGCCACCCACTCCCATGACTCTCCTGAGGAAACTATCTGAATGCACTCATCCTCCTTTGGCTTTTCTGAAGGAGGACTGGGGCTGGAATGCCGAACAGATCTGTAGCTGCTGCTGATTTGAGTTGAGCACAAAGTGACTTTTCTAATGGTGTTTGAACAACCCCAGTAGACTCCTTCCTACCTCTCTGCCCTCCTCTCCTGGTCCTGGAACTTCAGAGGTTGCCCACAGCTTTAATTTATGAACTAATTTTTCTTTCCCTCAAACATTCTCCAACTTCTATGCGTGTGCCAACTGAGGCAGCATCAAAGTCCCTGGCTTCTACACACTTGAATCTCCCTCTTGAACAACCAGTTCAATGACCTTGCACATTTAAGTGCTTCCTGGCAGCCCCTACCACTCGAGGCAGCTTCTAGCATCATCACAAAAGAAATGCTATTGCACCATCTGAAACCCACTCAGCCTCACTCTCAGATCCCCAATGATGTGCCAGTTAAATTGTCCCTTCAAAATAATTTGTTCAGGATTATCTGGCCAAAGAGAATGATGGCTATAAAACATGGTACCTGTCAGGATCATTCTATTAGAAGGGATTTCTGATAACAGTCCCTTATCCTGCCTGCCTCTCCAGAGTAACCTTATGATAAACTGCAGACTCCTCAATGTTATCTACAGATGGCTGCAATGTCTGTTCCTGCCTCCCCCTTTTTTCATCCCACACCTGCAACTCACTGCCTTATGGATTAACTGTCAGTTTTGACCTTGCCCTTCAGGGCACGCCCCAAGCATACAGTGGTCTCCCTCCGTCCCATTTCTAACACTTGGACTCTTCCTTTTGGTTCGGTTAGGACAGCGTTCCCTCAGAACTTCTCCTGTGCTTCCTCTCTCCATCTTCTGCTCTCCTGTAGCTTGTGTTAGTACTTGGCTCGTAATGCCTGTTTGATCTCCATTTTTCACTTGAAAGAATCTCCTTCCAGGACGAATCTTCCTTGAGTGGGACATGTGAGCTGCTCCTCGATGCTTCCCAGTGCCCAGGGAGGCACATAACATAATAGATTTCCACAAATGTTTCCCTCTCTACATCTCTTAAGGACACCAGCTGTGTTTTATTGAGGTCCTCCTTAATGACCCCATTTCAACATCATTACTATTGTAAAGACCCCATCTCCAAGTACACTCACATTCTGATTGTCTAGGGACTATGACTTTTTAGGAGACACAGTTCAACCACTAATGCTGACATGTAAGTTCTTGTGAGATATACAAACAGTATGGAACAGGTGTGAAGCAAAGGGACTCACCCCACTATGGTGTGTCTGCAGTTTTCAAGGAAGAAGGCAGGGAAAAGGAAGCAACTGGGCATCACCATGAAAGAGGCCAAGTGCCAGCAGGCAGGAAGTCATTCTCTGTGGCCAGTGCCTGCCATGCTGCTCTCACTAGAGGGAATCAGGAGCCACTGCTGCATCTAGGAAGTCCACCATTCCTACATCCATTCACCCACGCTTTCTCTGCACTAAGCAATGTCTACAGATTGCGGCACAGTGATGAGTAAACAGGTAAGAATGAGGAAGACCAGAAACAAGGAAGGAGGAAAACAAATCCATACATCTAGGGTGGTGACAAAGTGAAGCAGGGAGGGAGTGGGGAGCACTGTCATAGGAAGTGCCATTTCTGAAAGACAGGTGAGGGAAAGCCCAATTAAGAAGAAGCTGTATGAAAGAGATGAGGCCCAGAGAGAGCCGTGGAGTTTGTTAGAGCATATTAAGTGTGCAATACCTATTCGACAATCAAGTGGAGATGTCAGGTGGATGGGTTTTAGGCCAGAAGTCCAAGAAGCACAGACGAGCTTAGTTAAGTCCCCAGTGCCAGTCAGCTTGATGAGCCATTTTCCTAGTGGATGTTAGTCAAACTAAGGCATTTGGTTTATAAGCCCCTGGAACCCTGTGAAACTAACACCAGTCAGCCCTGTTTAGCATGTCGACACAAGTCAACTGGATCCTATTGTTCTCCAGCAAAAGGAACCCGGACTCTTTAAAAGAATAATGATCCCTTCCTCTGTCAGGACACAGGAAAGTACAAGCATTAACCTGTGATACTGGAAAGTAAAGAAGTGCTCCAGAAAGAATACAGCTATGCTCATCTCATGAAAATAGAAGAGAGACTGGTAAACTAGAGTAAAGGGACTTGAGGAAAGAAAGAGGGAAAGGGAAGGTATAGGGAATCAAAGTGACCAAATTAAATTGTTCTATTATGTGCATGTACAAATATGTAACAATTCTACAATTATGTATAATAACTGTAATTGACCAATAAAAAAAGTGTACCTAAAATATACACACATACACAGGAGCAAACATGGGAAAATCTCCCACTGGCCAAAGCTGACACAAGTCAAGATATAGAATAAACAATGGTAGCATTGAATTTTAACCTGGAGAAGAAAATAAATAGCCACAAGTTCATACTGACATCAACAATTAAAAGGGAGACAAATGATGATTCTTTCTTACAGAAGGAATTGATAAATGTAAGGCCTAGAAACAGAAAATCGCCATTAGAAAATCCCAACAATTGGGAGACTGAGACAGGAGGGTAGCAAGTTTAAGGCCAGTCTGGGCAACTTAGCAAGACCCTGTCTCAAAATAAAAAAGACTGGAGAAGTTTAGTGGTAGAGCACTTGCCTAGTATGCATGAGGCCCTGGATCTGATCCCAAGTATTATGGAAAAAAAAAAGAATACTGCAGTAATAATTGTTTTAGGAAAGATTCATCAATGAATGCTAAAGTTAGTTTGTAAAAGAGAAGAAAGGATTTGCTAATGTCAAAATAATTCCCCCAAGACAGTTATTAAATACAAGAGGAAGGTAAGATGCAAAGAAAGATAAATTTGCAATGGAGAAATCAGCAGGCACCTCCTTGGCCATGAGACCATCACCAACAATAAAACATAGAATCATGGACCCTGGATATGATGCACTGGGAAGGACACATGTCAGTCCTGGCTTGTCTTAACAAAAATGCTAATGTTCATTTCAGTCATAAAGAAACATCTGGCAAATAAAAAAAACTGGTGGGCATTTTACAAAATAACTAGCAAACTTTAAGAATATTGAGACCAAGCAAACATAAGGTGGGTTTCTATATTGGGTCCTCAACTAAACAAAAGAGGGGAGAGTGATGGAATTCAACCTATATCACAACAATTTACCATCTAGGTTTTGGTAATGGTATCATGATTACTCAACATCTTAATGTTAAGATCTCTATTTGGGGAATAGCTGGGTAAAGATTAATAAGAATTTTCAGGTCTATTTTGCAACCTTTAAATAAGTTTAAACTTTTTCTAAAAAAAAAAAAATCAAGTTTTAAAAGTCAACATTAGTCCCAGCTTTCCAATGAAAAGCCTAGGTTGAGATGGTAAACCCAGTAACCATCTGGCCTACCCAAGTCGTTGCCTAGGTATCAGAGGTGGTAATGGAAGATGTAGCTGGAAATAGAATCATTTGAAATCCTTGATTAATATAGTACCTTGAGAATATAGGGTTTGGACTCGAGTCTCCACAACTGCATTAGTCCATAAATGTACATATTGGCCTTGTTTTCTCACTGGTGAGTTGTGGATTTGCCCTGGGATGACAGTACTCAGCAGTGAAGTCTCTCAAAGGTCAGAAGACATGGATCTACTATTAATGATACCAGGAACAAATCCCAAGGGAAGTCACTTGGTTGGGGGAGAAACAGAGATAAGCAATAGCAGAACATTCAAGAGAGACTACCCCTAGGGCTGATTCCCCTCTTTGGGGAAGTCCATCTGTTATGGTTTATATATGAGGTGTCCCCCAAAAGCTCATGGGTGAGACAATGCAAGAATGTTCAGAGGTTAAAGATTAGATTATGGATTTTGTGATCTAATCAGTGGATTGATCCACTAAGATGGATTAACTGGGTGGTAACTCTAGACAGGTAGGGTGTGTTTGGAGGTAGAGGATCCCTTGGGATGTGCATTTGGGGTTTATGTTTGTCCTTGATGAGTAGAACCCCCTCTCTGCTTCCCAGTCTTTGTGTTCTGAGCTACTTTCCTCTGTAATGCCCTTCTGTCATGATGTTCTACTTCATCTTGGGCTCAGAGATATGGAGTTGGCCAACCATGGACTGAACCTCTGAAACTGTGAGCCAAAATAAACTTTTCCTCCTCTGTATTGTTATTTTCATTTTTTTCTGTTTGTCACAGCAAAATAAAAACTGACTAACACACCATTCCCATATTTGTTTGAACACAATGAAAGCATGGAAATTTAATGGAAAAACTTTCATCTGTCCAATGTGGTTTTAACTCTTAAAAAATTAAATGCCAGAAGACATACTGTCAGGTTTGTTAAATAGTCAGTTCTCTCCCAAATTGGTTCCTGATAAATCCAATGATTTATCCAACTCAGTAAAGGTCTGATAGAATGATTCCAAGTCAATGATGACCTGCATCCCCTGACCCTGCCTCAGTGGTCCTAGAGCCAATCCCCTCACACCCCAGCTATGACATCAACTGTCAGCATGTTTTATGTTCCACATATTTACACATCTTCCCCTCACTGACCAACAATTCCTGGAGGGACCATGTTTTTGAGCACATGGCAGCTGCGTGCCCTTGTGCACACAGGCATGCCACCATGTTGCATTTAAATGCTGCCTCTGAAAATGAGGATGTCTTCAGGTCTTTTCTTTTCCCCTGAGAGTTACGTTCTTTTCATTTTATAAATAGCTGGCTTCAAGTTAATGACATTTGTGGAAGTCCTCGTGCACATTCCTCCATTCCTGGGCACATGGAAAGGGTACCTTTAAATAAAAAGGTAAATAAAATAAAATAATAAAGCCCATGAAATACACACTTTTCCCCAAATAGAGCATTGTTTGTATGTAGCATCTCTTCACTGCTGAAAGATTGGAACACAAAAGAAGTTGTAGGAAATAAAGTATTTACAAGAGACAACATTTGGAAGTCCTGCTTTCCAAAGTTTTACATGTGTGTGTGTGGAGGCATGTAAGAAACAAAAACACAGGCCATATACAGTCACATATATGAGGATATACAATATACATGTCTGTACATTCTTTTGCATCCTTTTTCTTACTTAGCATATAGTGAGGATTTCCTGTTATTAAAACATTTTTGAGGATTTCCATGTTGAATTATGGAATTTACTTAAGCAGCCCCCATTGCTTCACATGCCAGTGGCCTCCCGATTTTCCTTATTCCTATTGTCAATGACACTACTGGGAACATCAATGCGCAGGCACTCTGACCCCACTTCTTAGATTTGTCCATCCAAATTGGTTCCAAGAAGTTGGAGACTGACATATTCCTTAATTCTCTCCTGTTTTAACTCTCGGTAAGTATTATAAAAAATGAATTACTGTAATATATCCTAGGTACTAAAGTATCTGTATGTACTAGAATTAATTAATCCTCTATTGCTTGACAACTTTTTAAAAAATGTTTGTTGATTGACCTTTATTTATTAATTTATATGTGGTGCTGAGACTTGAACCCAGTGTCTCATGCATGCCAGGCAAGCGTGCTACCGCTGAGCCATAACCCCAGCCCGCTTGACAACTTTTTAATGAAGTATTTTTATTGTATTCTTATTTCAAAATAATCATGCTCACGACAGACATATCTAAAAGTACTGAATATCTACGCACTATTAAAAATCATAATCTTAGACTGTGGATATAGCACAGTTGGTAGAGTGCTAGGCTAGCATGCACTATGCCCCAAGTTCAATTCCTAGCCTGACATAAATAAATAAATATTTTAAAAATCATAATCTAAGTGTCATAAACACTATCAAGTGAAAAAACCAGTCCACACCTGAATGCCTACCACATGGTTCCCATTTTGAAAAACAGGCAAAATTATTAAAATGTTTAGGATGCATACTGAGGTGATACAACTATAAAGAAAAGCAAGGAAATGGTAAATGGATGGAGTTGTAGAACATCATGAAAGTGAAGAAAGCCAATCCCCCAAAACCAAAGGCTGAATGTTTTCACTGATAAGTGGATTCTGATCCATAATGGGGATGGGGGTTGGACCGTGGGAGTTCCATTGGAGGAACTTTAAATAGGGCAAAGGGGAGGCAAGAGAAGGGGGGAGCGTGGGAGTAGGAATGAGATGGACAGCATTGCCTTAAGTACATGTATAAAGACATGAATGGTGCGACTCTACTTTGTGCACAACTAGAGATATGAAAAATTGTGCTCTATATGTGTAATATGAATTGAAATATATTCTACTGTCATGTATAACAAATTAGAACAAATTAATTAATTTTAAAAAATAAAAGGAAGGAAGTGGTATATTATATAACTTTATCAGAGTGGTAGCTATATGGCTGTTTTCCAAGTGATAAGCCATTAAGGTATGCATGTAGATTTTGTGTGCTTTTCCATATATTTGCAATGCTTCATAACACCAATAGCTTTAAAAACCCCTCATAATTCTTGAAATCCTTTAAAAATTTCTCTTAGTAACAGCATATAGCCTTCCAGTGGTGTAATTCATGTCTATGATTATATTAAAACTACTATTTTGTAACATGATGTTGGTGTACTGTGAGAATCTTCCTTTTGGTCACATAAAATGATGACTAGAATGACTATAATCAAAAAGACTACAAATACCAAATATGGGAGAAGACATGAATAAACTGGAACCTTCATACATTGTTAGTGGGAGCATAATGGTGCAGCCAATACCTTAATCATTTCTAATGAAAAGTTACATTCACAATTACATATGACCCGCCAATTGTACTCCTCAGCATCTACCCAAAAGAAATGAAAATATGTGCATAGTTTTATATATGCATGTTTACAGTAACATTAAGACAGGCAAAACATGGAACCCATTTTTAGGGAATTCAATCTAAATTCAATGTAATCTAAATTCTAATTTAAATTCTAAAAATGACGAATGAGTGAACAAATCATGGTATGTCCATGCAAAGGAATACTAATGGATACTAAAAAGTGATACACTTACACATGCTGTAGCAGGGTGAACCTTGAAAACACTGTGCTAAGTGAAAAAAGCCAAGTACAAAATATTATAACTTGTATGATTCCACTGATTTTTTAAAATTTATTTTCAGATACTGATGGACCTTTATTTTATTCTTTTATTTATATGCAGTGCTGATTATCAAACCCAGTGCCTCACACATGCTAGACAAGCACTCTACCATTGAGCCACAACACCAGCCCCTCCACTGATAGGTTTTTTTTTTAAGATGGACACAATACCTTTACTTTATTTGTTTATTTTTATGTGATGCTGGGAATCGAACTTAGTGCCTCACGAATGCTTGGCAAGCATTGTACCACTGAGCCACAACTCCAGCCCTCCAAGAGTTTTAATGTTGGCACATAGCTTGATAGAGTGGCTGGAAGCATAAATGATTTAACTAATTGTTAGACGTAGTTTCCTGTTTTTCAGTATTACAAAGAGTGCTGTACTGATCATATCTGTGAATAATGTTTGGCCAGACTTAATTATGACTTTGAACCAATGGTCAGAAGTGGAACTGATTGAGAGTTTGTATATTTTAAAGCTCTGGGCAAATATTGCCACATAGCCCTAAACAAAGTTTGCTCAACCTGCACTCCCTGCAACTGATTGAGAGGGGAAAATGCCTCCTTTCTTGAATATATTCCTTCTGTCTGAGTACTGTTCCCCCATAGGGGGCTATCCTAGCCAGAGGATACCACACTCATGATGTCCTGTATTTGTTTGCAGATGAACTATATATGCTGTTGCCATGGTCTGGCTCGTCAGTAGTGCCAATTGCCAAGTAGCGGGCTTTGCTATTGCCACTGTAGGATGGATCCTGTCTGGCATTTCCATGGGCCTCGTGGAGTGGCGAATATGGTACATGAACCACCCCCTTCTCCCCTCCTCTGGTGTTACCTGTGTGGGAATGTGGAGAGTATGCATTTACAACCATGAAAGTAACACCAGCAAAACCAAAATGTGTTACCGATACACCTACCATGATGACTTCCTTCCACCCAACATTTGTGTTGGTCAGCACCTCTTGCTGGCTGCCAACATCCTGGGGCTCTTGGGGAAAGCCTTTATCGTCCTTGCCCTGAGGAATGTGTACATGGGAATCTTTCAGAAGAACGTTACCTGCAATCCATTCGTCGCTTCAGGAATTCTGAACATCACTGCTAGCGGCTGTATCTTAATTGTTGTGCTCTGGAATTACTATTCCATCATAAGCATGGAGGGGATTGAATTCCCTTCGTCTTTCCATGTGCCCTTCAAGCCAGATGTTCAGGAAGTTGGGAGTGCCCTGATAGTGGCAACACTAGCTGCCTTCCTGCTGTTGTTAAGTGGGATAATTTTCCATTCTTACACTTTCCCCCTGGACAACCAAGTGCATCCTGAGGTTTGAAAAATGAATTTCCAAGTTGTATGGACTTTGCAAATCCATTATTTCCAGAAGGTTATGGGAAGTATTATCTGAATGTTCTACAATCTACAATTGAGAGAATGTCTTCGTGACCATTGTATACTGAATTTTTGTTTTTCTCTTTTAGATTTTTTTTCTTTTTTGAGTGTTTGCTCTTTTTTTTTTTTTTTTTTTTTTTTGGTAACACTGGACAAAACCCAGAGCCTCACACATGCTAGTTAAGTTCTCTACCATTAAACTACCTCCCCAGTCCCTCAATTAAAAAAATATATTTTTTAGACAGGATCTAATTAAGTTGCCCAGGTTGACCTGTAACTTGTGATCAATTGGCCTCAAAACTAGCTGGGAGGGTAGGGGCTGTAGCTCAGTGGTAGAGTGCTTGCCTAGCATGTGTGAGGCCCTGAGTTTGATCCCTACCACTGCATAAAAAATAACAATTAAAATAAAGGCATGCTATCCATCTACAACTGAAAATTTTTTTAAATATTAAAATTAAAATAAAACTAGAGATCACAGGTGTGCAATACTACTTCCAGTTTTGGATTTTGAACTCACATAGTTGTTCTCAAGTTTTCATTATGGAAATTATCAAGTGTATTCAAAAGTAAAAATGATGGTTCCAATTTCAATAATTATCAGTCTATGAACAGTATAATGAATCCCTAGGAATAGGTATTTTACTCATAACTACTTCAGTACACATTCCTGTGCACAAGCAGGAGGAGGGGCTCAGCCCTGCTTGGCAGCTGCTTTCTTCATGGTGGCTAGGATATTGCTCCATTCCTCTCACTTTCTCTTGGTGCAGATGTGTGAACCCAGGAGTGCTTAACCCCTGAGCCACATCCCCTCTTTTTTATATTTTAAGTAAAATGTAAAAAAGAGACAAGGTATCACTAAGTTGCTTAGGGCCTCACTGAGGCTGGCTTAGAACTTGTGATCCTCCTGCTTCAGCCTCCCAAGCAGCTGGGATTACAGGCATACAGCACTGCACTCTTCTTGATGAACCTGAGGGTTTGTTTATCCTTAGAGTCTTGGAACAGCTTCATGGTGTACCACTTGTGCTGGACAAAGCCATACACCTCTCCAATCACATTCCACCCAAACTTAGTGAGCTGGGTGAGATGCCTGCAGCAGCAGCTATACCTCAACATGATCATATTCTTGTGGCCTTATAGCTCTTCCTAAGGCCCATGGCCATCGGTCGTGCAGAGACATGGCTGCTGGTCTTCAATGACTGCCATGGCAGAAGTCTCAATATGCATTTTGAAAATATAAGACCCCTTTCTCCTCTTCCTTCTCCTCCTTCCACCCTTCCCTCTGCATGTGGTTTTTCCATAACCATGTTGCTACTGTCAAACCAAAAAAGTTTTCAGTAATTTCTTAAGGTTTTCAAATACTGGATCAATGTTCAAATTCTCATGATTGACTCATAAGTGCTTTTAACAGTAACTTGGATTTCTATATGTTCAAACTGTTGCACTCATTTTCAGTCACTATTCCTTTTCTCTTTCTTTCTTTTTTTCTTTTCTTCTTCTTCTTCTTTTTTTTTTTTTTTTTTGATACCAGAGATTTAACCCAGGGACATTTTACCACTGATCTACATTTCCAGCCCTTATTTTATTTTATTTTTTTGTTTAGAAACAGGATCTCACTAAGTTGTTTAGGGCCTTGCTAAGTTGCTGAGACTGGCCTTGAACCTATGATCTTGTCTCAGCCTCCTGAGTCACAGGGATCATAGGTATGTGCTACCACTTCCATGCACTACTCATTTGTTGGTCAAGTTGTCCCATCTTTGGCAGTGAAGCCACAGGGGCGTGTGTGTTCTCTGGCATGTCTGTGTTGGTATTTTTAAGATTAAAAAAAAAACTTTATTCAAGACAAGTTAATATACTATTTACAAAACAAGTCTTCACTTTATCAATAAAATTCATTCTAGAAAAAATGGTATTCCTGAGTAATGAAATGGTAAGAGGAGGACATAACAATATGTTCAACAACTGCATTGACTAACTACATGCTGTTAAAATTAAAGCATATGTATTTACACATAATTTTCCTTTATTCCAGTGGTTCTTAACCTCATGAAGATTCTCTCCAGAATAATGTCCATTTGCACATAATTACACACAGGTTCACAACACTCTTGGAACTTATTCATTATGTTATGGCGAGATTGCAATAAATTACTGAGTCAATTTTAAAACAGGAGATGGAACCATCTTTATTCACCAGTTGGCAGAACAGATCCACCAGCTGGCAGGCCAACAGGCAAGCTGCAAAATCTACATTCTTTAACTCCCTCCCAGGGTTTGAGTATACCTTTTATAGTCCAAAACCATATTAATCATAAGTGGCTGTTGCTATGATTCAAAACCATAAACAAATGTCATGAGATATAAAATCATAAGCAGAAGGGAAAATGGGTCAAAATGACCCTAGTTTAGTACAAGTTAAAGAATGTCTAGACAATCAATCTCTGACAGGTCCAAGAAAAATGGGAACCAAGGACAGAACAATTTTACATTGTGTAAGAATTGCCAAAACAGCATTTATAAAAAATTCAATTTTATATGAATTGTTCTTAAGCATGGTAGGTGAGAAATGATATCTCAGCATCATTTATGTGTGTGTGTGTGTGTGTGTGTTTGCTGGGGATGGAACCCAAGGTCTCACACATGCTAGGCAAGTGCTCTACCAATGAATAACGCCCTACAATCCTTTAAACATCATTTTGTGTTTGTATGTGTGTCGGGGGGGGGGGTTACTGGGGACTGAACCCAGGGGTCCTGTACTGCTGAGCTTCATCTCTAGCTCTTTTTATTTTATTTTCAATTTTTTGTGGTGCTTCAGATTGAACCCAGGGCATCATGCATGCTAGGCAAGCACTGTGCCACTGAGCTACATACCCAGACCTCTGGCCTTTTCTTATTTTTTATTTTTTGAGTCAGGGTTTCTCTAGGTGGCCTAGGCTGGCCTCAAACTTCTCAATCCTCCTACCTTTGCCTCCCAAGTTGCTGGGATTACAGGTATAATCCCATTGCACCTGAACACAATGCCATTTTATACAAGGGTCTTGAGTATCCGAAGATTTTGTTTTTTTTTTTATGAGGGAGGTGCTGGTCCTAAAACCAATACCATAGGGATACTAAGGGACAATTGTACTTGAATGATTTCATTTTTACTGTAATCATTTGGAACTTATACTGGTATATACTATTAGATATTAGGTAAAATTTTTCTTTTTCCAAGTCTCCTTTTATACAAATATCAGTTAATTTTTAAAAAACTATTTTTTTCAGTGATTTGGGATGTTGCTTTTTTCATATACTGAATTTCCATAGATACTGGGTTCATTTCTAGGCATTCAATTTGAATTTTAGTGAATTTATGCATTATTGTTTCAGTGTTTTAAATTATGGAGACTGCATCATCAATCAGGATTCTCCAGAGCCAGAACATACATATATATATATATCGATGATAGAGATGGGGACTGAGAAGTCCCCCAACAGGCAAACTGGGGACTCTGGGATGCCAAAGTTGGAAGTGTGGCTCATTCTGAGCCTGAAAGCCTCAGAACCAGGGGGCATTGGGAGCTGCTGATATAAATCCCAGACCCTAGATTTCTGATGTGCAGTGGCAGAAGAGGATTGTCCCAGGTCCAGGAGAGAAAAAGCATTCACCTTTCCTCTGCCTTTGCATTGTATCTCAGTCCCAAGCCGACTGACAGTGCTACCTACATTGAGAGGGATCTTCTCCATGCAGTCCACTAACTCATGTACCAATCTTTAGAAACAACCTCACAGACACACCTAGAAATACTAGTTTACCAGCTTTCTAGATATTCCTTGATCCAGTCCAGTTGGCACCTACAATTAACCACTATAGATATTTATTTTAAAATTATAAGAAGGTTCATTGTGCAGCCCATGCTCAGCATGTGAAAGAAACCTAAGTTCAAGCTTCAGTACCAAAAAGTAAAAACCAAAAATAAAATAATAGGTATATTATTTGTGTGTCCTATTCCCTCCCCACCCTTAGGACTTTCTCAGTTGTTTGGCTTATTTTTCTATATGGACTTTATATTCATCTTGCCTTGCTCCAGGGTAGGGAAAAAAACCCAGCATTTTAAAAATTAGGATCCCGTCTTTCTCTTTGTTCAAATCTACTTTTCTTTAAGGTGGTTTTGTTTGTATTGGGCTATTTTCAGTGAGGCAATTATAAAAAAAAAAGATACTAGTACACTTGGGTTCAAGCATGAATGCAAGTTTTCATTTCTCTTGTTTAGGTATCTCAGAGAAGTATTGCTGGGGATTATGGTGATTTGTATTCATTCTTAGACACTCAACCCAGGCAAAATGCTGCTTTTTCCATTCAGCATTTATAGTTCTCTTTTGATGATGATGATGATCTTGGTGCCAGGGCCTGCAGCATGCAAGATAAATGCTCTAACACTGAGCTATACCCCCAGGCCACTTTTGGTGTTTTTAACACAGGCACTTAAAAGTACTTTTGATTTTTAATTTGCATTAGGAGCATAGATCTTGTTCATGCAAATTCTGACTTCCAGTACCCCAACCAACACGTGTGCCTTCCTTGGACTGTGGAAGTCTTTTTTCTCCCAAACTTCATGGATGGTCCAGATAGCTCCCAAGGTGACTTCTAAATCCTCAAACAAACTTATTTGATTGAATTCCAAAATCATGGTTAAGGCCAACTCAGGGGAGGGACAGCTTCAGCTTGTTCATGCTCTGGTCAATTCCTTCACCAAACATTAACATCTTTCATATGGGAGGTGCCACAAAACATTCAACTGAGGACTGTGGGCATATACTGCATGCAAGAGATCAAAGTCACCCTCTACCTATGTAGCTTGAGCAATCATAGCTCTTCAGGTGTTTAAAAGACTACATCAAAAGTAAATAAATGACTAGAAAAGCAAGGCTCTATGAGGTTAAAAATGAGACAGTCTCACTTTAATCCCTGCATTCCATGCACTGATTAGCCATATTGAGTCCACAAGAGAGAAATCAAAGAGCAAACATGGAATGTCTTTCTTCTCAACGAATATTTATTTTAGTCTTTTGGAGCACTGTATCTGAAATTAGTAAGTGGGTAAATACATCTAAACCAACACCAATCATAATTTTTCAATGTCTATATTATGGATTTGCACACCTCGGGGATATAGGACAAAGGTAAAAAGAGCTGAAGCTATTTAATTCCTTGCTTATTCTGAAACATTCATTAACTTCAGATTTTTAAGTAAGTGTGTATATCAAAAATAAAAGGGTAACCGTGAGCTTGGCCCAGTGGTTCATGCCTGTAATCTCAGCTACTCTAGAGGCTGATCAGGAAGACCACACATTTGAGGCCAGCCTGAGCAATTTAGCAGGACCAAGTCTCCAAATTTAAGAAAAAAATGGAGGTTGGGGGTGTAATTCAGTGATAGAACACTTACTTAGCAGGGATCCATCCCCAATATCTCAGAAAGTGGGGAGGTAACCACTAAACCAAGAATGAAAAGAAATTAAAGGTAGGAGAATCAAAAAGGAAAAAATAAAATAAAAATTTCAAAGGCAATATACTTACTTATATAGGATATCCAAGAGAAAATGACATAATCATGATTCTATTTGTAGACATTTTCTAGAAAAGACAGAACTACAGAGACCAAACAGCATAGTGATTGACTGGTGATAGTAGTGAAAATAGGGAGTGACTACATAAGGCCACTAGGGAACATTTTAGGGTGATGAGCATGTTCTGTAGCCGGATCGTAGTCATAGCCCAAAATTATATAATTTATTACAACTCTTCAAAATATATGCCCTAAACAAGTTTGATTTTATAGTATATAAATTATATCTATATATATTAAAAAATAAAACCCTAAATATTAACAATATATTTGTTTTTGCAGTGAACATTACACAAATCCACAATGAGTTGATTGATATTCACACACATGAGATTGCAAAATGAATGCCCTGTTTCTCTAGCTCATATGTATATTGGAATCTCCTGGGGAGCTCTAAAATACTGATGTCTATTCATAATGGTAGGCAGCACATGTATTTGTCTGGGCAGACTTTCTGAAACTCAGCATGGTTGTCATGTCAGCCTGGCTTACTCTTTGAAGGTCTGTCCTTCTACACTGTAGGATGTCTAGCAGCCTTCCTGGTCTCTACCCTCTAGGTGCGTATCATAATCACCCCACCCCAGTTGTCTTGCAATTTAAAAATTGATGAAAAAGCAAGCATTTGATACAGTCCTAAGTGACTTTAATGGTAACTTCATCTTTCAGAAAATAGAAGTCGGGGAGGAGAGCAAGCTGTTCTCTTTTTTTTTTTTTTTTTTTTTTTTTTAGGATTTTAAATCTCCAATTCTTCTGTTGCTTAGTCAACCATCAGAAGCAATAGGGGCAAGCCTTGACTTAGAGTCTTTACTCACACAGAGTTTAGAACACAAGCACCGATGTTCACAGTGCTGTAGACATACAATAAACTTTCAATGAACACATGAATGAAATATAAAATGTTCTATGAAGTGTAGTCTTTTTCTGGTCTGACATTTTGGAGCTGACTTTTCATTGCCTTTTTTTTTTTGTGTGTGTGTGTGTGTATGTGGGATTGAACCCAGGGCTACTGTATTACTGATACACATATCCAACCCTTTTTATTTTTATTTTGAGACAGGATTTTGCTAAGTTGTTTACAGCCTTGCTAAGTTTCTGAGGATGACCTTGAACATGTGAGCCCGTTGCCTCAGCCTCCTAGGCTGCTGGGATTACAGGCTTGCCCCACTGCACATGGCTTCAGATAATTCTTTATGGTGGGGCTGTCTCGTGCATCATTGGATATGGAGCAGCATCCCTGACCCCACCCACTGAATTCCAGTAGCAGCCACTTCCGGTTGTGACAACCAAAAAGGCTGTGACTTAAAAATTCTAGCCAACTAGCCATACACTGTTGCTTCAACCCTGTTTCCTGATGCTTATACATGACCCCAATGCATGGCGGAGTTTGTTACCTTAAATTGCTACAGGCAGTATGATCTTGGCTAGTTATTTAACTACCCTGTAGTTTCTCCATCTGCAAAATTGGATAGTAATTAGTTCTCTTCGTATAATTGTTGTGAGATTAAATAGCACATGTAATGTTCTGCTACATTTATTGGCGCATATTAAGCACTCAACACATATCCATGGTTGCTGCTGCTGGCACTGTGCTAGTACTTAGTCTCTGGCACTGTGTTAATACTTAGACTCTTACCATGATTTACATATGCATTCCTTATTCACAGGTAATTGGTTGTTTTTACTTCTCCATTGTGAACAATGTTGTCCAAGCATCCATTTATTTCATATCTTAGTCAATTCATACAGATCTCACTCATTCACGGGAATCTAGTCTGGAAGTCTAGTTGGCATTTTATGCAGGGCTAGTATCATGATAATTCTTTTGGTAAACATGGAGATGCCACAGCTGAAGGCAGAGAAGTGTTAACTTGATTTTTAGAAAGATAAAGAAGCACATTCTGGAATCTGAGAACTGGTAAACTTGAGTTCAATCAGCCACAAACCAGGACATGATGGTAGATATATAATTTATGAACTCTTGAGACAATGGCCATCTTCAGTAGCCAACATAAATTTTCTAAAAATAATTAGCTAATTTTATTTCCATTTTTTCTTAGTCTACCTACTTCTTAGACTAATCAGCATTGCAGGTAGAAGGAGCTACACAGCATTCTAGGACTTGAGTGGCTGAACTGCTAAGTTGAAGGAAGAAGGCCTAGCCTTGATACAGCAAAGGCTGGGAGGTGTGGGTGAGGTCCCAAAGTGGCTTTGATTGAGGTATGATGAATCCATGAAATGGCCTTTGTAGCTACATGGCTGATTCCAGACCTGAATGGCTATGAACCAAACCTGCCTCTGTGAAAGGCCCCATATCAGGACTCATTGCCCATTTCAGGGCAGCAGCCCTTGCTCCACCTTAAGAACCAGGATCATTTGGATCCTTGACAAGACTTGATATGAATGTCACCCTCCAACCCGATGCCATCCATATAGATATAACTGCAATTTTACAGACAGAGAAGTTATTGCTCATCCAATTCAGAGACTCTTCTAAGAGAATCATGTCTCCTAGAAACACTGGGGTAGATGAGTGATGTTAAGACTCAATTTCAAATAAAAGAAACCAGTTGGAGTTGGTCTTGGTTAATTGCTCTTAACTGAGGTGATTTTTGTCCCTTTAGGGGACATCTGGCAATGTCTGCAGACATTTTTTGGTTGCCACAACTTTAGGGGTGGGGTGCTACTGGCATCTAGTGGGTGGGAGTTGGGGATAATGCTCAGCTACCTCCAATGCCTAGATAGCCCCAACTGCAGAAATTATCCAGCCCCAAATTCAACAGTACCTAATTGATAAACCCTAGTGTAAATTTAAAAATAAACTAATGAAGGTAATCTGGAAGATAATCCATAAAACTATCAATTACTGGGACAATTCATAGAATCTGAGAAGTTGAATCAGTCTGAGAAGTTGAATCCAATTCATAGAATCTGAGAAATTGAATCAGTCTCCAAAAATGAGTATTTTTTTTCCATTTTAACTGTTTATTCATGATGCTGGGCAATATGAGATGGTCTTGGACATTCACTAAGCTCAATTTTACATATGATTTACCTATCAATTCCCAGCCTCAGAAAAGAATTTGATTAGTCTATCCTGGGTCAGAATCTACTAGAAAATTAAACTGTAGTCAAAGAGCAATCATGCAATAGGCACATTCCATGATATTTCATACATCAATGAAAGACATGGGTTTCTGGTGGCCATTCCCATGAGCTGTGATGGTGTTCTTAGAGTACTGCAAATAAGCTGGGTGCTGTGGCACACACCTGTGGTCCCAGAGGCTCTGGAGGCTGAGGCAAGAGGATCGCAAGTTCAAAGCCAGGCTTAGCAACTTAGCGAGGCCCTAAGCAACTCAGTGAGACCTTGTCTATAAATAAAATATAAAAAAGTGCTGGAGTTGTGGCTCAGTGGTTAGGTACCCATGGGTTCAATCCCCAATATATATATATATAAAAGAAGGTACTACAAATAAGGCATTATGCTGTTGCTTCTTCCCATTTCCTAATGGTCTGATACCAACTCTTTTCAATATCACCTTTTCACTTCCTCATTAATGACAGCACATGAACTTCTCAGGCACATGATAATGACTTTTCACAGAGTGCAATGTTTGATTTTGAGGTAGAAAAACTAAGCATAAATAAATCACCTCTTGGGGCTGGGGATGTGGCTCAAGCGGTAGTGCGCTTGCCTGGCTTGCGTACGGCCTGGGTTCGATCCTCAGCCCCACATACAAACAAAGATGTTGTGTTCGCCGAAAATTAAAAAATAAATAAATAAATATTTTAAAAAAAACCAAACCTCAAGCACAAAAAAAAAAAAAAAATCACCTCTTCAAGGAAACACTTTAGTTGATATTTAATGGCAAACAGGGACAGATTAAAATTAAGCCAAATACGTGGTGTGAAAAAGAGGAAAGAGAGGAGAGAAAGAAGTTCGGCTTCTGGGAAATTAGCAAACCAAGCCCTGCATTGGAAACATTCTCAAGAAATCTGGAGGTCAATGGTCCATATTTAAACAAAGTCTACTTTACCTAAAGGCATTTTTCTGGAAAAGTCCAATTTTGAATGGAAAGAGACTGTTTTTTCAGCCCATCTGTTGGTATAAAGCTGTGACAGGATCAAAAGAAGCCCTCCAGTGAAAAGGCAAAGTCCACCAACCCAACCAATGAACATGGCATTGCCATATTCCCACCTGGGCAAGTTGGTTGGGAGCTCAGAGCCCCAGAATTTCTGAACGGTGACATGGGCGATGTAGGACACGGGCGCTAAAGTGGTGAGTCCGGCCAGGAAAAACAGAGCTCCCCCGACAACATTGCTGTTTTTCTCCAAAGAATGTTCTCGGCAGCCCAGGTACCTCAGACAGGTGAGTTCCAGGAAGATGGCCACGAGCCCGAGCGAACCAGCGGTGCTGGCCACACACAAAAGGATGCGAGCCACACGCATCTCAGCAGCCAGGTTTTGCCGGGCGGTGTGGCCCTGGCACACACTGCCACGGAAGTCTTGAGTCATACACGTTTCCCAGAGGCCCAGCATGTACCTCTCATTCTGGAGTAAACCCGAGGAGAAAGTCAGCCACTGAGGAATGCACAGAGTCACCAGGGAACAGACATAGCCAGCCACGGAGACCAGGAGCCCCACGTTTTGAGCTAAGCAGAGTGCCCCACTTCCCATCTTGTTCTTTAAAACCAACTTGTTCTGGTGAATCTGTGTCTCTCAGCAACAACCCGGCTGCCTTGTTGGATGGAAATCTTGAAGAATTTGAAGCAATTTGTGCCAGCTTGACTGCAAATGTGAGTCCACCCCTGCTGACCAACCAGAATATAGCTGCTTTTTAAAACAGGTTACCTGGTAAGTGGGCGGCTAGTGTTCAGCCTTAATTAATGCAGGAAAATCCCTACAATTAAAATAGGCCCTACAGAAAACCTGTGGCCACTACAGGGCCAGGTGGGAGGATGGGCAGGTCCAGACAGCTATAGGGAATTAGTGTCAGCAATTTTATTTTCAAAAGATAAACACTTTGGAATGTGGGATTATTAGGTATTAGACTCATGGATCAGGCTCATTTGAAGGAGTATTTCTTCATTTTTAAATTATTTTAAATTTTATTTAATATTTTTTCTTCCAGGGTTTGCTATCTGGTTCCATCATTCCTAAACCTATCTTCACAGGAAACCTCTAATTACCTGCACCTTCCATTAAAGCAAGAGATTGGGATCTTCTTGAATTAAAAAGGGTGGGACTATTAGGGTCCAGCGGCTGTGCTCATTAGTATTTGTTAAAATGAGTTGAAAACTCATGTCTACACAAAACTCACCACAGAGGTTCACAGCAGACATATTCCTAGTTGCCAAAACTTGGTAGCAACCCATCTTCAGTAGGTGAACAGATAGTCATACTGTGGTCCATCAAGAGAATGGAATATTATTCAGCATTAAAAGGAAATGAGTTGGGGCTGAGATTGTGGCTCAGAGGTAGAGAGCTCACCTAGCATGTGTGAGGCACTGGGTTTGATTCTCAGCACCACATATAAATATATAAATTAACTAAATGAAGGTCCATTGACAACTAAAAAAAAAAAAAAAAAGAATAGAAAAAGAAATGAGCTACCAGGCCATGAAAAGACATGGAGCAATCTTAAATTCTTAAATGCATTTACTCGGTGAAAACGGCCAGTGAAAAAGCTATGCAATGTATCATTCTAACAATATGACATTCTGGAAAAGGTCAGACTATGGAAATGGTAAAAAGACCAGTGTTCGCCAGGAGAGGGGGAAAGGAAGGATGAATAGTTGGAGCATGGAAAACTTTGAGTTCAATGAGACTCTTCTATATGCTACCATGATGATGGATAGATGACACTATATGTTTGTCCAAACCCTTAGAATGTACACCACCAAAAGTGAGCCCTTGGGCTGGAGTTGCAGTTCAGTGGTAGGACACTTAACTAGCACTGGTGAGGCACTGGGTTTGATCCTTGGCACCACATAAAAAACAAATAAAACATAAAGGTTAAATTCTTTAAAAAATAAGCCCTCATGTAAACTATGGGCCCTGGGCTAAAAATGGGTCAACATAGTGTCATATATATTATAAAAATGTCCCACTATTATGGGGCTATTGCTTGTGCTGTGCTTATGAGTGTGCAGGGGAGCTCTCTGTGCCTTCCGCTTAAGTTTGCTGGGAACCTAAAACTTCTCTAAAACATAAATTCTATTTTTTGAGAGAGAGAGAGAGATTATTGAAACTATCATCTTTTACTCCAGCAGCTCCATAACAACTTCTCATTGCCAGTGATAAAGAAGAATCTTAAAACATTTTTCTATTGGGTCCAGAATCATGATCAAACCCCTCAGGTTGCTATTGTGGTCTGTTCATGAATCCTGCCCCCAGTTCCCATTCCTGGACTAAGTTTTCTGCACACCCTTCTGCATTCATCTCATCACCATCTAAGCCCAACGCTCCAGGTTCCCAATATCTCCTCCTGTGGGGCCCAGGCTCACACCTCTCTCTTGGAGTGCTTTACCCTAATCTCTGCCAGTGAAAATCCAACTCATTCTGGAAACCCCTCTCAAATGACACGTGCTCCAAGAAATGCTTCCTGATCGACCCTGTCCTACACATCACCCTTCATTAGGAGGAATCCCAGGTCTGACACATTGTATTTTGAAGAATAGTGATTAGTGTCCACATGCCCTTGTCTGTGAATTCCTCAAAAGCAGAGACCTTTTAATTGCCAGAAAATCTCACACCAGGCTGAGAGCATCAGTGCATGCCTGTAATCCCAGCACCCAGGAGGGTGAAATGAAAGGATAGCTTGAGCTCAGGAGTTTGAGACCAGCCTGAATAACATAGTAAGACCAAACAAACAGACAATGTCACACCAACAATGCCAACAGGACAGTGTTCATGCTGCCATATGCATGCTCTCTCCAGGTCCTTTGCCTTTCCATAGGGCTCTCACAGATGGCTCTCACTGCTCACATGCTACCCTGAAAATACACAGGGAAGACACTCAGCATCACGGCATCCAAGGGCCTTGTTCAAGATCACAGGATCAGCCAATGTCACCATCAATGGAATTGTTCTCCAGTACACTGGACATCCTATTATCCTTTCTTCCAAGAAAGAGCATAAATAGGCCTTGACTGCATCAGCCTGCCACAAATGTTTATTGAATGGAAGACAGATCCACCCAAAAAGTCCTGCCATCTTTATCCCAAGTGAAAGGTGTGGTTCTATGAGAAAGCTAAGGAGGAAAATATGGAAGCACAGTCAGCTCATCCATTGCTCAATTATTCACCAGGAACAGGAGACTGCTGTTTTCTCCACTTGTAGAGTGAGCACCTGGAGTAGTACCACAGACACATACGTGCTCCCACACACACACTCACTCACAAGAGCATACATGTGCACTTTGCAACAATATTTCTTTGAGAGATGAAAAGGAGAAAAGAAGGAAGAAGTCTTGACCTGCTGAAAAGAGGCAGTGTCTCGCTACAAGAAGGTTGTAATTGCCCCATGGCTCCCAGATACCATCTAGAGGGTGGACGCCCATGGCCAAAGGGGCACACAAGGTGCGATTGTAGCTGTGGCTGGTCAGGAGGCCCTGATCCTTCATTTCAAAGGTAAGGAGGACAAAGACCAGGCTGGGCGAATCCCAAACAGGGGTCCAGTATAAGCCTAGTGAGTTTTGGTCAGATTCTATTATTTTAGGGTTAGTTCCCTTATTTAAAGTCACTCACTTAGACCTTTTTATTAAATGGCTTTATGGAACCACTTCATGGGCTTTCTTTTATAGGGCAAGTCTGAAGGATCCCCAATTTTAAGCAAAGACTCTGAACACACCCATGTTTGTCTCTGGAAGAGCATTAATTAGCTTCTTATAAGGGAAAACTGAATAATCACAGGCTGAACCAAGATTAAAATATTCACGACAATATCTGTGAGCCAATGCACTGATGGCTCCATGTTAACTACCACCCAGGAAATGTGCAGCTGCTTGGAAAAGATCACAAAATAACTTCCACACCTCCTGCAGGGAGCCCTGGGGATTCTGCATGGACTCACATCTGGGAAACTGGTCTCTGCCCAGAAATTCCACTCTATCAGATGTGGGGAGCCATTCTCACACGTGACTGGGTGACTCCCGGTTTGGGTCTGAGGCGCTCTGGCTGGGTGGGAGCTTTCCCGGCCCTCTCCTGATGAGAGAACCCGTCCGTGTGGGGGTGTGACTGACCACTGACCCCGGGGGCCCAATCACTGACCCTGACCTTGGAGTGCGGCCCCCCCCCAACCTTCATTGGATGGAATTCTCCCCTGAATTTCTTGTTCCCCAATAAAAGGCTACTCCCTGGCGAGCTCTCTCTCTCTCTCTCTCTCTCTCTCCTGCTAGCCCTGAGTAATCCTTGCTGCCCTGCAGGGCGGTTAGAGGAGGGAACCAGAGAGGGGAGCCGTCTCGGACCTGGCCATAGAAATAAGGTAACTGAGTCTGTGTGTTTTATTTCGATCTCTGCTAGCTAACTTTTATGCCAAGGACCTCATTAATGAAACCATTGCGCTGGCCGCATGGTGGAATTGGCACCCAACGTGGGGCATTCTAGATTAGTTAGATTGAGTGGGAGCGCGCTATAAAGATAAAGATAAAAAATAAAGATAAAGGAAGTGGTGACAATTTGGGTCACAAAAGTACCTGGAGATATTGAAGGAAAGAGACGTTAAATTAATTAAAATGGGAAATTCAACTTCTACGGATAAGGAAATGTATCTGACTATTTTAGACAGTATATTTAATCAGAAAGGAAAACAGATAAAGAAAACTCAGTTATTACAATTTTTAAAGATTGTAGGTGAATATTGTCCTTGGTTTTGTGAACAAGAGTCTCCAGATTTACTTACTTGGGAGAAATTAGGAAGGAAGTTACAAAAAGTCTTGTCTTTCTAATGAATTACCTGGAGACATAGAAAATATTCAGAAAACTTGGACGGCTCTAGAAGTTTGTCTTTTTGAATATATGGGCCAGAGTTCATGGCCCCCTGAAGACCTGTTAAAAGGCATTCAGAGAGCTGTTAGGTCTATTCAAATGGAAAATCCGCCTGAGGCTAAGTTAATTCCCTTTCCCTTAAACCGTTTAAAAACAAAGGCTCTAGGGGCCAAGCCAAAGGTTAAAAATGTGAACTTAAACTTGCAAGATCAGGCTAGCCTGCAAGGAGATTATAGAGAGCAACATCATAGAGGAGAAACTTCTGAAGCCCTAGAAAGTTCTCCGGAAGAGGTAGACGATCTTCCTGGGGAGGAAAATCTGGAAGAGATTCCTAGAGGGGCTCAGAGTTCTTCTCCGCCACGTGGCTTAGAAGCCCAATTTCAAAATGGCGACAGCGCAGAGTCTGACCATGACTCGCAGTCTGAGGGAGGAGAATCAGACTTTGAAATTCAGGACTTACAGAGAAATTTTAACAGGCTGCGTTTAACACCGCCTGCCCAGGCTATTGGAATTCGGCCAGTACCTACTAAAAGGACAAAATTTAACAGGTACGCTGGATTAACAATGACTTTTCTTACCCCAGTCCAGCGAGGTATTAAGAAGGCTCAAGAATCGGAGGAGGATACTAGCGGTTTTCAACTTTTTCCAGTTTTTGAGCAAGTTAATGAGCAAGATCAGAGAGAGTTCATG